TCCTCCCATGCCTCTTCCTCCCTCCCCCTCCCCCCTTCATCGTTACCTCCGTCCCTCTTCCTTCCACCACACCCACCTCCTCGTCCCGCTCCTCCTCCTCCTCCTCCTCCTCCTCCTCCTCCTCCTGCACCTCAGTTGCCTTATCCTCGTCGTCCTCATTCATCTTCGATTATCACCCTCCCTACGCGTCCTCCTGTCGCGCGCGGTCCGCACAATCGCTCACTGGCTGCAAACCTGGAACTGCAGATTGGTGTGACGCAACTTGAACCAGTGCGCAAAATGGGAACTGCCCTTGGATGTGAGTCTACCGTCTGCCGTAACATTCACATGAGTTCCTCACGAAATGAAGCGTCAACCTCAACATGGGTATGCCCTGACTGCCACATTACTTGGCAGACTGTGGGGCAAATAACTCTCAAGGAACTGGGCATCGCAATTGGCAATTCAGCCCCTGAGCAACAACGAATTGCGACACCACTTGTTATGCCAAGTGTTTCGAAGGAGCTGCGCGACAATTAAGAGGACTGTCCCGAAGGAACATTTCTGCGACACACATATGGGACCCTATCCAAAAGTGCGCGCAATGTTTAACATGTCTCACTGGTGGAGCTCGTTGATCCCACACCCGCACGAGCGTCACTGGCGTGTCCGCTTGTCGTGCAGATGCTGGCCTGAAGGTGACCACCGAACGTCGCGCGTCCGTCGGAACTCGCCCCCGACACCATAGTGATGTGGTAGTAATTACAGCATCAGTGTGCAAGCACAATACGCGCCGATACTAGTTTCGCGTGCCCGTTAGGACCGCAGACGGTTGCGGCGCACGAGAGATCTACAGTCAGAATTTGCAGTTTCCCTCCTCGCGTCGCGCTCCATTACAGGACATCACAGGGTAGTGAATTAACCCTCCACGACCGAACACGAGGAAATGCATCAAGCTGCAATCAAACTCGTGACTTCAGCAAGACTGAGAACGCAGCCGACCTCAAAAGGAAGAAACTGTCCCATGTCACGGAGGTCCTTTGCGATACGTTGAAGTGTTATGAATTGAAGCGAAATGCCCAATGCTATACAGCGCGAAACGGTGCATTGCATAGCACTGCTACTGTGTGTTTTCTACTGGCTTGCAGTTTTCTGCGGCTTTGCAGGGATAAGATCAACACTCCCTCTGTGGTGATTCAAAGTGGCTTCAACTACACGTCACAAAAACAGGTACTGCGCATAGGAGGATGACGGAGGCAGAGGCAGAATAGGGAAAAGAAACCGAAACCGCAAATACGGGCAGCGATAACATTAAGCCGACCGATGAATGCTCAAAGCTCCTTCCCGCCAGCCACGGGTATAATAGAAAAAAGAACTCCACATCAGAAATATAATATTGATGTACACAAATACTAGAACCACGCGCGCGCTTCGCGCGAGCCTAGGCCCCGTCGTACATCAGCAGATAGGCACGCACACCATCCCACCGCAATCACCACATGGAAGCACCTGCGCAGACGTGGGCAAACATGGCTCAATAGCGCCTCCCGGCCCATCTCGGCACACCCAGCGCAAGGATCGTGCAGCACAGGGAGCTACCGCTGCGGCCCCACAGACACGAGTCACACAGCGTCACACCCCTCGCGCGGATCGGATCGTGCCCAGCAGGTAGCTGCACTTACGGCACCCGAGGGAAGCTCGGCACACCTCTCAGACGGATCGTGCCCCGCAGGCCGCCCCCCCGCCCATTCTCCGGCGCACACCTCACACAGTTCGTGCCCCACAGGGAGTTCCACAGACGGCCCGAGGCACAGGGTTCGCGTAGCGCCCCTGCCGCCCGACGCGGCACGCCCGCCACGCCGATCGTGCCCCACGGGGAGCACTACCCACACAACCCCAGAGACAAGGTTCGCACATTGTCCCCCGACCAGTTCAGCACACCTCTCACGCCAATCGTGCTTACCTGTCGGGGTCCCTTGGCATGCTTTTCTAGCACGTCTTGGAGCCAGTTTCGGAGCAGCTTGGGGCATCGTGAGGGCAGTTGTTTCTCCTCGCGCTTTGGACGCGGGTCCCCTCACAACCGAAATCGCCAGCGTGCTTGCGGGCCAAACGCCCTGTGGCATGCAATCAAACACCTCGAATGAAGACTCTGCAGTGGGTATACGCCTTAAAACGCCTCTTCGAATTTCCTTCCGGCCTGTACTTGGTTTCCCAAGCACTGGCGAAAACGAGGGGCAAACATTCTGTGAACGGCCCGTTGCTTCCCCAAGCACTGCTGTCAACGGGATTATTGTCCATGAATAGGATGATATAGCTTGTGGGCGAGGTCAGACAGTTACTCTTTTTCTCTGGTGAACCTCGGGTTTACGATGAGCGACCAACCTTCATCCCACCGCCATGGTTTACCCGCACTCGCTCGAAGGTTCACTCTTTTCCATTTGGGCCCTTTCTTTCTGGCGATCGCTCTCATTGTCTGCAACCATTCACAGTTTCTCTCTCTCTCTCTCTCTCTCTCCACGCATGGTGCAGAATACTTTCTGGGTGTGCTTGGACGTGGCTCAACCAAGATACGACTGCTGTCAAGAAGATGTGCGACCATGGCCTGTCGATAATTTCTGAAATGTCTCTATTTCGCTTCCGCTTTATCTGTTCCCCAGTAAACTCACCAACAAAATGAAGGCGCAACATCATTTAAATAAACTTCCTCTGTTCCTTGTCGATGTGCTTGCAAACTGCTTTATTTGGTATCCAAGAAGAGCTCTTTGCTCTCAAAATCCTGTGAGCCATCGAAAAAAATCCTTTGCCGATCCTTTATTGGGATCAGCTGGTTCAACAGGAACTTCGCATTCTTTCAATACGATTTTCTGATGGCGGCGAACGTTTGAGCGATGTGCCTTCCCATGGGCTGCCTGTCGCATGGATGCGAGGCCCCAGCAAGCGGATACTTGGTTTATTTTCCCATGTGTTCCCCCATGTATCAATAAACGTGCTGGTTTCATAACGCTGGCACGCCGCGGTCACAATCTCCCTGCTTCCCAGTTTGATCGCAAGCTTGTGAATGGCCCAAGGTCCCTTCAATGTGGTGCATGATCCTCCAAACGCTTTCCTCTGTTTTCCCAAATGTGACGATGTCATCTGAACACGTCTGACGTAAGGGGCCGTTTGGGGCCCTCTTGGGGCATCTTTTGACGCTGTTGGGGCCTCTTGGGGTCCTGCTGGAGGTCTCGGGGTCCACGTCGGGCGGAGGGCTCGAAATCTCAGGTACAATTCCCTCATCTTGGGTCGTCTTGGGCGCCTTGGGGCTCCGGTGGGTCGTCTTGGGGCCATCGTGGGCCGTCTTGGACGCTGCTAAGACGCCAAAATCCGCATGTGCAAAAAAAGCTTGTTCTCCTCAAGAAATGAAGCGATTTTGGCGAATTAGGGCCCTCTTGGGAAGCATATTGGAGCCTTCTTGGGCCGTCTTCGGGGCCTCTTGGGCGGCTTGGGACTGGTCGGGCCGCCCTTTGAGGCCCATTGCGCCGCTCTTGCCGCGCAGCCGCGCCCCCCAGAGGCCGTTGGGGCGGCCCAGGGGGGACGGCCCGGGAAGCCGCGGGGAGGGGGGGGGCTCAAGGGCAGTGGGAAAAGCGGCAGGGTGTTCCGGTCCTGGGTCCGGTCCCCAGGTACCCCAACGTTTGTGTATATATCTAAAAATGTGTATACATATGTATATATGCATACACATGTATACATGTAATGCGTATATCTGAATGCATACCTACACGCATACATACATACAGACAGACTGACATACATGCATACATACATACATACATACATACATACCTACAGGCCTACATACATACATACCTACATGCCTGAGAACGTACATACTACATACCTACATAGCTCAATCGATACATACATACATACATACATACATGCGTGCATGCATGCATGCATACATACATGCATGCATACATACATATATACACACATACACACATACACACATACACACATACACGCATACACGCATACACATACATACATACATACATACATACATACATACATGCATGCATGCATGCATGCATGCATGCATACGTACATACATACATACATGCATACATACATGCATGCATACATACATACAGGCAGGCATGCATATATACATACATACACACACAAAGTCAAACATGCATGCATACATACATGCATACATGCATACATGTATGCATGCATACATGCATGCATGCACCTATGCATACATACATTCATGCATGCGTGCACATATGCATGCATGCATGCACGCATATATATATATATATATATATATATATATATACACACATACATACATGCATACATACATGCGTACGTACGTGCGTACGTAAATACATGCATACATACATACGTACATACACACATGCACGCATACATATAATCATTCATTCATACATACATACATACAGACAGACAGACAGACAACCAGACAGACAAACATAGAAATATAAGTTTGGGAAGCAGCCCCCAAGAGGTGGGTGCTCAAAAAGAGGGGGAATCCGTGAAAGTGTCCCAGTCAAGGGCCCCGTGCCCAGGTACGCCGGCATATACATAAATGCGTATAGCTATAGATATATGTATATATGTGTATGTATGTATCGATATATCTGTGTATATATATATATAAGAATAGATATATAGACCTAGCTCTATATATATATATGTGTGCATGTATATCTACATATCAATATAGATCTCTATCTATCTTTCGATACAACAAACAATTCGAAGATGCGTAAGCCGAGGAGGGCCCAGCCTGGCGTGCACACCGCCACTGGCCCTCCTGCCAGATGATTCCAGGACACCGCAGGAAAAGCCGACTTAGGGAAAATTATTATTTTCGCGAGAAGGCAGCTGTGCGCACTTGGGGCGGGGGGAAGCTGTCGGTCACCTTGGGTAAGCGCAGCTCTGCGGTCTCCAAGAATGACCAAAAGCGCAGCTCTGCGGTCAAAGGCTCTTTTCAGATGAGGAAGCCGGACCGCGCTTCCTAAAGATCCAATCCTCGATGACCAGGAAGTCCAGGTCCACGAGCTCGTCCAGCATCTGCAAGCACTCCCGCACGGTGTTTACGATGGAGGAAGAAGAGAAAGACTGCATAAACATAAACGCTTGGAAGTCCGCGCGGGTTTCTTGGACCAGCGCTGGACCCCCCTCCCTGGCGCGGGAGCCCAGCGCAGATTCCAAGGAATCCGCGCGGACCTTGAAAAAAAGTGCGTGTGCTTATTCACTTTTGCTTTTCTTCCAGATTGGCTTCCCCTTTGTGTTGAAGCTGGTGTTGATGAGCGCGGCGAGCCCCGTGAGCTTGCCGACCGCGAGCAGCAGCGCGTGCACCCAGGGCTCGTCCGACCGGCTGACAGACTGATGCCTGGCGGTGCCGTCGAAATGCGCGAGCGCAGGGAACCTCTCGCGGACCTCCTCCCGCACGCGCGGGGCCATGGTCATGTAGGGCGACTCCACCTTCTCGCCGAAGACCTCCTCCAGCGCCTCTTCCGCGATCATCGGCGCCACAGGGCGGTACCACTGCCGGACCTTCAGGCGGTTCATCCTGTCCTTCATCGACTGGGAGTCGGGCACGGCCACCAGCGACCTGTGGCCCAGGGCACGCGGCCCGAACTCCTGGCGGCCGCGCACCACCGCGATGATGGGCTTGTCCGAGGTCCGGTTCGCCTCCCTCTGCCAGGCGGGCCCGCCAGCCAGCAGCTCCGCCAGATCCGCCATCGTGCCTTCAGCACGAAGTGGAGTGCCACAATGCGAGCGCGAATGCGGCTCGCGTTCGGGCCCGCTGCGGGGCGGTCCTCTGGAAGAGGGCGAGCGCTGAGGAGCGCGCTCCCGCTGGGAAGAAAGCGAAATTCTGCAGGCTGTGCCTGTGGTGATGAAAATAAGATGTAAGGTTCGTAAGGACCCTCGGGCATCCAAGAGCAAAGGGGCCCAGGGACACACAAATAGACACGAGTTCCCATAGTTTCCAATATTTTGGGTGTTTCGTCATCCCCCCACTTCCCATGTCTTCCTGGGCTTCGACGACTAGTTGTGCCCGTGTGTCTTCCTCCCTCCTAAGAGGCCTGGAGATGACCTCTGACCTGCAGCCTGGGCGCGATGCCGGGATGGGCCGAAGGCCACGGGATACTCCACCCCGCCGAGGGCGCTGAGCCTCTCGGCCTGCCGCTCGGCAGCAGCGGCCTCCAGGATGCTGGAGGCTCGGGGATGGGCACCAGCACAAGCACGGGGGGCAAGGGCTCGAGTTGAGCAGCGTTCTTCGTTTTCGTTCTGCACAGTCGGGACGTTGACCTAAGGAACCCTAAATAAGGAACGAGGCCCCTTTCCCCATCAGTTAAAGTTCGATTCCCCATCGAAAACCGAAGGAAAACCTATCAAGGAACACGGAGCTCATGCAACACGGAGCCCCTCCCCAACGAAAAGGGTTCCTTCTTCAGCGCCCCGACTGTATGCGTTTTTCCTTCGTTCTGGCTTCGTTCTGCCTGTGCTGCGAAAGGAGATCAGAGCGGAAAGGGTCCACGAAATCGCCAAGACGCCGTGTGGCTCGAACCCTGCACCAACACAGGGGGCCAGGGCTCGAGCTAAACAGTGTTCTCCGTTTTCGTTTTGTGCTCGTTGTTTTTGCCATTATGTCGTCGTTCCGCCTTTTCTGCGAAAGGAGGTCAAAACGGAAACGGTCCAAGAGATCGCCATCAGATCGTTCATCTCGAGCCCTGCACAAACACAGGGGAGCTGCCTCCACTAGGGGAAAGATGATGATCCTAGATCGTGTGGCCTTGGGGGTCATATCTCGGCCACGGATCGAGGAACAAACAATGACGTACACATAAGCTGCAAGAGGTCCGCGCGGATGTTTGGGATCGGCACTGGAGCCACCTGGTGGCTTGATGGTTATGTCACAAGTGTTGCTCCTCGAACCCAGGAAGCCTGAATATCACCACCATCACCGAGATCGGGATCACCTTTAGAAGAACAAAAAACGCCATACACATAGACTGTTGGAGGTCCGCCCGGATCTAAGAAATCCGCGCGGAGCGCCACAAGTATATGGTTACGGCGTCGTTTCTTCTCCGAAGCTCCCCTCGACGAGTACACACCGCAGATGTTGGCGCTGGTGCCCACCTCCGGGCCTCCGAGGATGTCCTCGTCCCAGAGGCGGAAGCCCAGGTACTGCAGCGGCTGCTGCGCGAGGGGCGGCGCTGCAGCCCACAGGCCGCCCACAGAGAGGCCGCCGTCGTTGGGCGACGGGGGCACCCACAGCCGCAAGTCGCGCCGCGCGGCCTCCGAGGACCCGGGCGCGGCGCTGAGCACCGAGGAGCACAGAGAGTGCAGGAGCAGAGACGCTCGGAACTCCGCGAGGGCTTCTTAAATCGGCGCTGGACCCCGCTCCCCGGCGCGCGGAGCGCGCCAGGGGCAACGCGAAGGGCGGACGCCAGCGCCGATCTCCAAGAACTCCACGCGGACCTCCGAGAGTTGATGGGCCTGTTTTCCACCACCACCACCACCACCATAAGTTGGAGGGGGAGGGGGTCCTCCTCCTCCTCTTCCTCCTCCTCCTCTTCTTATTATTCTTATTCTTATTATTATTATGATTCTTATTCTTATTCTTATTTTTCTTATTATTATTATTCTTCTTCTTATTATTATTATTATTAATCTTCTTCTTATTATTATTATTCGTATTCTTCTTTTTCTTCTTATTCTTATTATTCTTCTTCTTATTCGTCTTCTTCTTCTTATTCTTCTTATTATTATTCTTATTCGTCTTCTTCTTCTTATTATTATTATTATCATTCTTCGTATTAGTATTATTCTTCTTATTATTATTATTATTATTATTATTATTATTATTATTATTATTATTATTATTATTATTATTTTTCTTCTTATTATTATTATTCTTATTCTTATTATTATTCTTCTTCTTATTATTATTCTTATTCTTCTTCTTAGTATTATTATTCTTATTGTTCGTCTTATTCTTCTTATTACTCTTATTATTCTTCTTCTTAGTATTATTATTATTATTCTTATTCTTATTATTCTTATTATTCTTATTAGTATTCTTCTTATTATTCTTATTATTATTATTATTATTCTTCTTATTCTTCTTCTTCTGCGTCTGCTTCTTATTATTATTCTTATTATTCTTATTCGTCTTCTTCTTCTTCTTATTTTTCTTCTTATTCTTCTTATTCTTCTTATTATCATTCTTCTTATTCTTCTTCTTCTTCTTCTTCTTCTTCTTCTTCTTCCTCTTCTTCTTCTTCTTCCTCCTCCTCCTCCTCCTCCTCCTCCTCCTCCTCCTCCTACTCCTCCAATCCTCCTCCTCCTCCTCCTCCTCCTCCTCCTCCTCCTCCTCCTCCTCCTCCTCCTCCTCCTCCTCCTTCCCCCCATCCAACATATGGTGGTGGTGGTGGAAAACAGGCCCATCAAGAGTCGTATGTTTGTGTCACGCTGTGCTCCTCGAGAACAGCAGAGCGTCGCGAATCTTCTGGTTGGCGAGCACGTTCAGGGCGCAGCCGCCCGTGAGCACGACGCCATCCAGGTTCTCGACGCCCACGTGCTCCACGAGCTGCAGGACGGTCTGCTGCGTGATCTTCTCGAACTCGGCCTGCACGGACGCCGCCAGCGCCTGCTGGCCCTCCACGGAGGCGCAGATCGTCTGGAGACACTCCGAGAAGCGGTGTGGCAGGCGCGTCTTGCCCTGGCCGTAGCTGAAGATGTGCTCAGGGGCGTATTTGGGCATCGCACCAGAGGCCTCATAGGCCTCCCGCACGACAGAGCCTATGGCCTCGTCCGGCGACCCTGTGGCGGCGTATCCCATGAGTTTCCCCGCCCATCCCAGAGAAGACAGGTCCCGGTCCCCCTCGGAGGTCTTCCAGCTATCCTCGAAGAGGTTGCCAGTGCCGGGCCACTTGCAGATCTTCTCGTTGCTCTTGCCAGTAACCTCTGGCAGCAGCCCAGCCAGGACCATGTACATCACGCCCAGGCTGTAGTCCAGCCTCCCAAGGCGCCGTATGCCTCCGAGCGACGCGTAGAAGATATGGAAATCCGCGTCGCTGACGACGACAAGGGCCGTCCGCAAGGGCGAGGCATGGAACGCCAGCAAGGCGTGCGCCTCCGCGTGGTCGACGTACTGCCACTGCTCCACTGCGAACACCTCCTCCACTATGTTTGGCAGCTCCGCCGGCATGGGATAGGAGGCAACTCCTGGGAGGCCTTCGTCAGCACGACGAAGGGCGGGTTAGCCCGATTCTTCGTCTTTCCCTGCGTGCCAAGTCTCATGAGGTGCACGGTATAACAAGATTATGCTACAACGCTGGCATGCCGAGTGGCGCGAGGAGACGGGGGGAAGGAGGGAGAGGCGGGAGAACGTCTACCTGCACACGGACTGCAACGCCTCTAAGCCTGCTTCGAGCGCCACTGCTTCGGCCTCGAAGGTGTTTCGTTAGCGGCGCGTGTGCGTGCCTCTTGTGACCTGGGGCGAAACCAGCTAACGCGGGAGCAAGCCGGAGCAAGCAGGATTAGGGCAGACTGAGCTGGATTAAGCCAGATTGGGCCAGGTTTCCACCTGGGACATACGAGAGCCAGCCGACCCTGGAGGAGGATCGAGGATCGAGGATCGAGGATCGTCGAGGATCGAGGATCCTGGAGGAGGAGGAGGAGGAGGAGGAGGAGGAGGAGGAGGAGGAGGAGGAGGAGGAGGATCGAGGCTCGAGGGCCTCCCAGGAGTGGCATCCTGGCATGGGCATGACGACCACGCCGTGTTCGAAGCGCCGCGGGCAGGGGCCGCCCTCGCACGGGCAGCGGTCCCGCGCGGCGCGCAGCGCCTCCAGCCACGCCGCGCGGGCCGCGCGGTCGTCGCGCGGGGGCATGAAGTACCGCACCCCAAAGAGGCGCTCCAGCTCCAGAATGCTCGGGCGGGTGTAAATTCGGGGTGAAGGAGGAGGAGGAGGAGGAGGAGGAGGAGGAGTAGGAGGGAGGAGGGAGGAGGGAGAGGGAGGAGGGAGGAGGGAGGAGGGAGGAGGGAGGAGGGAGGAGGAGGAGGGAGGAGGGAGGAGGGAGGAGGAGGAGGACGAGGAGGAGGAGGAGGAGGAGCTGAATGGGGGGTGAAGAGAAGAACCAGCCCCTTTGGGAGCCAGCAGGGGCCCCAAAGGGGCCCCAAGGGTCCCTGTAGAATGCGTTTCTCCACACCCCATTCGGGTCAACCCCCATTGTACCTCCCCGCCCGAAATGCACTGCACCCGGCCGTTCACGCTCACCGCGATGTTGGCGTCGTGGTTCCCGTACAGTGCGAGCGTGGCCCCCCTGTCGGCGACGGGCGCGGGCTTGAGCGGAGAGCCACCCTGCAAGGGTAGCGGACGGGCCGATCCCCAAGCTTCTTCATGCGACGCCACCATTGCCCTCAGCAGTCGCAACCGGATCTCAGTCTCAAACTCGAACTCCGCGTCGACACCTGTGGGGTCGCCCATGCCGTAGTTGTCCTTAAATTCTCGGACTGCCATAGCTACGTCTTCTGTCTGCGGGTCCCAATATAGCGGCGTATCTCTTCCCTCGACTGTCAGGTTGAGATGCAATCTAGGCATTACAGACGCAGAAGTCCATGCTGGTGACAGCAGGATGGCCCAGTGTCCCAGCATGACAGCAAATAACTACAACCCACCTGCTACGAGTGCGCCATCAGTAACATGGGCATCAGTGGCAGTTAGTGCGTTGGGGCGCCTGCATTGGACAGACACGACTTGAGCCAAAACGGCTACGGACTTCTCAGATGATGAAAGAGACCACGAGGATCAGGAAGAGGAACGGGGGAACGAGCAGGTGGAGCACCAGGAGGAGGAAGGGGGAGGACCTCTCCGAAAGCCCTTCTTCCCCCTCCTTGGTAAAGTTTCGGGTTGTGCACACACCAGGCTACTCCAGAGGCCTGTTGATGCCAGCTAGGACTACCTGGGGGGCCTGTTGAGGCCAGCCGAAATTACCTGGGGAGTCTGTCTATGCACAAGAAAAGCTACAAGATACCGATATCGCTGCTCCTCAGTCCTCTCCCGGGGTGCGTCTGACAAGAATCTCGAGAAAGGACCTGGCGGTGGCGACGAGGGCCTCCCAGGAAACCGAAAGAAGGGCAAGGGCAGCAATATCGGTATCTCCTCCTCCTCCTCCTCCTCCTCCTCCTCCTCCTCCTCCTCCTCCTCCTCCTCCTCCTCCTCCTCCTCCTGATCGTCCTCCTCTCCGCAATCCCTGTCACGGCAGCGGCCTCCGTCGTCGTGGCGCCGTCGCCAGCGCTGCGGAGGCCGGCGTCCGTCTCCAGGTCCTGCTTTTTGTCAGGGCCGCGGCCGCCGCAGAGACGCCACGGGGACGGCGGAGGGGGGGCGGTGAGAGACGGAGAGGACGGAGTGAGGGAGGAAGCGGGCGGCTGGAAGGGAGCTAGGGAGGGTGGAGCAGGAGCTGAAGCGAGGCGGAGGGACAGAGGGAGGGGGGATAGAGGTGCGCGGAGCGCGAAGGGAGGTGGGAGGAAGCAGGAGATTGCAAGAGAGTGAGGGAGAGTGGAGGCGGAGAGGAACGAGGCGGCGGCAGAGGGCGAGGGGAAATGGCTCAAGCCCTGCACTGCCGCCAGCGCCACCCGCAGCCACGACCCCAGTCCCAGCTTCCCTCAGCCATACTCCCAGCCCCAGCCCAGGCGGGAGCCCACGCCCCAGTCCAAACACCAGCGCCAGCCTCAACCTCAGCCTAAGCCCCAGCCCCAAAGTCAGCTTCAGATCCCGCTTCGGCGTCGGCGGCAGTGTCGGCGTCAGCGCCAGCCGAAACATCCGCCTCGGCACCTCGGCCGTAGCCCGTGGGTTGTCTCAGCGTGGGCGCGCGCTATCAGGGCCACACCCACCGTCCTGGCAAACGCCGACTTTCTCAACTTCCTTGCGGGTAACTGAGAGGGCTTCTGCCTAAGGCGCTTCAAGGCTCCAACAGAAGAATGCGAGATGGTCACGCAGAGGTATTGCAAAATATTTCCGTGGCTGTGACCTGGCATAAAAACAGAGGGACGACGAAACCGTCAACGTCTCGTCCTGTTCGGTCACTGCGCTATCACTTGCAAGCTTGATTGAACAATGTGGCCCACAAAGGCACCCCACAAAAAATCCCAAACACCGGGATACTACGACTTTGAACCTGTTGCGACCATATTCGCGCCCCGGCTTGTTGCCACGCTGGACGAGAGGAGAGGCACAAAAGAAACCCGGGAGAGCAGGACGACCAGCATCGGCGTCCGCCGATGCGATCTGTCAACCTGCAGCCCTAAGAGGTCCCGACCGCTTCCCCCGGGGGTGGTTTCCCGTCCCAGATCCATGCCTGATGGCCTGATGGCCCCCGTGGCTCAAAAACAACCCCCGGAGCGCCGAAATCGAGGGAGATTGCCTGGACTGAAAAAAACAGGTCGCCAGAGGATGAGGAGGAGGAGGACCAGTGTAAACCCGAGAATCGTCAAAGATGATGGAATGAACGCTCCTTCCAAGCTCGCGCTTCATAGGCCTCTACAACGGTTCATTTCCACTGAGGGAACTGCCTCGTTGGAAGACAACCGTTTGAAAACACTGACGCATGCCAAAACATTGTTCTCGGGGATCCAACACCACTGTTCAACCTGACTGTTGCGTCTTGACGATACTGAATCGCTCCAGAACGCCATTCATGGGACCTCAAGACCGCGAATCAACGTAACTGTTGCACCCTTATAATCCTGAATCCTTCCAACACACAATTTCTGGTACGTTGATCATGGGAACGCGTGAAACTCTTGCAACATGTAAAACCGAATGTGCGCGGCGCTGAGGAGCGCCACGTTTTGAAAAGGAGCCGTCCTCAATCCGTGATACCCCTGCCATTTCTTAAAACGAATGTGCGCGGCGCTGAAGCGAAAGCCACCTTTTGAAAACGACCCGCCCTCGGTGAAATAAACTCTTTCCAAGCTTGAGAACGAACGTGCGCGGCGCTAAGGCGGGAGCCACATTTTGAAAACGACCCGCCCTGAATCTGCGAAACTCTTGCACATGTTTCGAACGAATGTGCGCGGCGCTACCGCGTGAGCCACACTTTGAAGACGACCCGCCCTCCATCCGTGCAGCTCTTGCAAACCGAAAAAAAGAGAGAATGCACGCGGCGCTGAAGCGAGAGCAACATCTTGAAAGACACCCGCCTGCAACGCAATAGGAATGTGCGCGGCGCTAAGGCGAGAGCCACATGTTTAAAACGACCCGCTCTCAATCCGTGGAACTCTGGCAAATTGTTAAAACGAATGTGCGCGGCGCCATCCCCCCCACGCTATCGCCCCCCAATACATTCGCGCCCAGCACGCCCTCGCGGTCTGGATTCCGGGGCGCGCCCCCGCGGATGCGCGGTCGCACGGATACCTTCTGCGCGGGGCCCCCGCGTAAAATAAAAAAGCTTCGTGTCTGCGGGGTCGCGGCCCAGGGGCCAGGCTCAAGTCGGGCCTGCCCCTTCAGGGGGAATATTCCAAAATAGTAAAACAATAGTCTGGGGACGATGTTTGGACCATTTGTTTACAATGTTGGAACATGTTTGGGGTATTTTTGACTTTTCGTCCAAAACCCCCCGGTAGGGGGACACGCCGGACCTGAGGCCAGGCGCGCGAGGCAGCGGATACGGATCTGTGCTTCGCCGCCTTTCCAGACCTGGAGGGATAACGAAGCAGCATGAGCAGAAACGCTCGAAGGTCCGCGCGAAGTGCTTGGATCGGCGCTGGACCCTCCCCTCCACGGAGGCGCCGCCAGGCGGGGGGCCCGGCGCCCAACCGAGAGGTCGGCGCGGACCTCCGCAGGTGTTTCTGCTTGTGCAGTCGCTTGCGTTTCCCACCCCTGGCGTCTGCCCCGAGACGAGGAGGCGCAGCAGACCTCGCACCCCGCCCCTCCCCCCTGGGGGAAAGATCAATTATCCCGGCAAAGCAACCTAACAGCCATGTGTAGGAGCATATCTGGAAGCATTCCCCTTAAGATTCGGATGAGAATCCAGTTGTAGAATTCTGCTGTTCTCGCAGTCGTTGTCGCATTCGCGAGGACAGTCGCAGTGGCAACGGCAGTCGCAGTCACAGCCTCAGCCTCAGCCTGCCTCAGCCTCAGCCTCCGCCTGCCTCAGCCTCAGCCTGCCTCAGCCTCAGCCTCAGCCTGCTTTAGCCTCAGCATCAGTCTGCCTTCGGCCTCGGCCTCAGCCTCAGCCTGCCTCAGCCTCAGCCTGCATCAGCCTCAGCCTCAGCCTCAGCCTGCCTCAGCATCAGCCTGCCTCAGCCTCAGCCTCAGCCTCAGCCTGCCTCTGCCTCAGCCTCAGCCTGCTTCAGCCTCAGCCTCAGTCTGCCGTCGGCCTCGGCCTCAGCCTCAGCCTGCCTCAGCCTCAGCCTGCATCAGCCTCAGCCTCAGCACGAAGCGACCCAGCTAGAAGGACAAAGCGCTGAATGTACACCGATGTGTTCGACGACTGCGTATGTAATGATGTGACGATATACAGACTGAGCCCTTCGTGAATGTCTACATGTTTTTCTGACGCCTACAAACGGCGCTGACGTGTGTGAGAAAATTGTCCGCGCAGCAAAAGCCGGCGAAGCGTGCGGGAGCTCGCATGCTGAGACAGACTACGTCTGCAGACCGCCAGCTGCAAAAAGGTTGCGAGCGGCTCTTGGAAGATGTTTACGGAACGGAGCTACGGTGTCTGAAAACATTGGCATCGAAGGGAAGAGCCTCGGAGCCCTGCAACCTGAGAAACACCGCAGGAACTCGCATACTGAAAAGGAATGCATTGCAAACCGCACGCTGCGAACCCTGCAGGCTGAGAAGCACCGCAGGATGTCGCATGCTGAAAAGCACTTGTACTGCAGAGCGCTAGCATCTATCTCGGGCTCGGACCCCCCCGTCCTGATCCAGAACGTGTCCGGCCACGGCCTGAAAATGCCGTTCCAACTCCCGAGGATCAGCTGGCACTCCGGCTCTGGGACACTCCAGTACGTCTTGAGCACCTTGAGCCAGGCCCCATCTCGGGATCCCCACAGCACGCTGTACTTGACCGAGACCGTGCCGAACTCATAACAATTGACCTCCGAAGGACCTGCGAGTGCAGGCTGAGAAACACCACGCGATTGCAGGGCACGGCATTGCGTGTCACATGAGTGCAGGCTGAGAAGCACCACATCTCGTTTGCCAGAGATCACTCCCAGGTTATTTGATCCCGCAACACCAGCCACGGCGTAGCTGCCACAGGGGCCGCAGATAGCAACGGTTCGGTCACCCAATTGGCGTTCCGGTGAGTCACAATTCGCGCGTGGCTCCACGAGCCTGTGTAGCGCGATTTGCGGGGCACCAGTGTGCTGTAGTTGTTGTTGCCGTAGCAGAAGACGGCCTCTGGAGCCCAGTGCGGATTCCAGCGGACAGCGTAGACCCTGTGGACGCCATTGCGGATGACGTCGCGCGCACCTTCGATATGTGCCACCCATCGAAGCCAGTCAAATGCTGAGCCATCGGTGATGTCAACAGCACCTGGGGCAGTCTCGCCATGGTGGTAGTGCAACAGCGATTGGAGAGCGGCGCTGGCTTCGTCGCGGCCCACAATCTGGCGCGAGCAGGCTGCCTCTTGCAGGTGCTCCTGTGTGAAGAGCAGTGGGGCATCACCGCCAGTCTCGGCAGGCTGAGCAGCGCCACCGTCAGGCACGGCAGTCTGAGCAGCGCCGCCACGAGGAACATGAGGCTGAGCAGCGCCAGGCTCAGGCACGGCAGGCTGAGCAACGGCGCGTGGTGGACCGACATAGGTGGGCTCATCGGGTCGGCCGTTCTTATGGTAATGCAGGCGCATGGCTGAACCGTCTGCACGACGGAACTCGAAGAAGTGCCTGCCGTGGCCATCCGTGTTGGAGTAGTTAGGGTCGCGCTCTGTCTCGATGATGCGAAAGAGAACCTGGGCGATGCCCTGCCCGATTATGCGCTCAGCGAAACCCGGAGCGGCAGACCGAAGCAGTTGCTTCCAGTCGTAGGACGGGTCGTTTGTTACGTCTTTGAACGACAATTTGTTGACAATGCACTCGGCGCGCAGCGCGCGCTGCCACTGGCAGGCGGTCTTGCCGCCCATCCCTGGTGTGCGGCGGATGTCTTCGAGGTGAGCCTGCTCAAAGACCACGTCGACACCTGGCTGAGGAGTCGGTGCGGGCGGATCCGGCAGAATCCCCCACGGGCCATCGCACGGGGCCGGGGGTGGCGGGGGCGATGCCTTGCCGCGTGCTGGCATTGTGACAAGGCAGGCTGAGGAGCACCGCCGCGGCTGGAC